GATACGCTGTACAGAGTAGAATGGGATGATGATGATGGCCTACATCGAGGTTTTATTCGCAAGCTCAGTGCTAAGGGCGGGGAGTGACTTTAGGGGGCATTGAATGACGAAATAGCACCGAGACGGCATGAGAAATCTTCTGGGGTTACAGACCGTTCTTGAGACAGCGAGGAATCTACCTAGTTTAATGTTTCTCGGCAAGCCAAATAGCATAAGGGGATTGAGTTTGATGACATAGGCGATGAGGTCACGCGTTTCGAGACGTGGACGTGCATTATTTGCGACTCTCCACTGTCCAACTGTCCACATCAGCTTCTGTCTCTCCACTGGATTCCTGGAGGCGGGAGGACCGATTCCAATTTCGGAATAATAGCTCGGGATCTGACGTTGCACGCGCTGCTGTCCAGCATCCCCTCGCAAACAAATACTCTTTTCCCCCCTCCCCGTCCCACCATCTCCCCAGCCCGGAGATTGACTGCGCGTCCCCTCGACAGTTCTCAAGACTCAACTCCAGGATTCGCGTGTGGTGCGGCGGTGCAAGCCATCTCCAAAGTCTAGATCTCCAGCCTCAGCTCGACAAGGCCCGATCCCCGGCCCGATTCGCCAAGACAAGACTGACGAGTGACGAGTGACGACGGACGGAATCGATCGTCGCGGTGCAAGCGCACGGACTGCAATATCCTACCCCAAGCGCGCTACTGGGCGACCTCCTTGCGACCACGACTTTATCTCAACTCTCGTCGCACCTCGCAACACCAACTCCTCCTCTGTCCCTCATTCACCTCTCCTCTCTTGAACCTCCTCATTCCTCTTCTACCGCTCCTGTTCCTCGAGGCCTCGCTGCCTCTCGGTCACGATGGCCTTTGAACACGTCAAGCGAGGCGCCATGGAGGCCGTCAAGCTTGTTGCTCGTCAGGTTAGTCTTCTCATGATAACAAGAAATGATTGATCGCGCGCTGACATGCAATTCCTCTAGCAACAAGGAGAGAATCGAAACCAGGGCTCCAATTCGCTGTCCGGTCTCGTCTCCACCCTCGTTCCTGTCCTCCTCCTCGCCCTTGTTTACGTTTTCGCCTTCACCTTTCTCCGCCGCAAATTCCCTCGCGTTTATGCTCCCCGATCCTACCTCGAGCCTCTCCCCGAGACGTACGTACAAAATCATGTTGATCATGCGTGCATTGATGCTAATTGGATTCAGGCAACGCACCCCGAAGATGACGGACAAGCTGATGGGCTACGTTATTGACATGAAGACGCACCGTGATCACTACATCTTGAACCACTCCTCCCTCGACGGCTACCTCTTTGTGCGCTTTTTCAAGCTCATGGTCATCATCTGCTTCGCCGGATGCTGTATCACTTGGCCTGTTCTGTTCCCCGTGAACGCCACGGCTGGTGGAGGCCAGGAACAGCTTGATATCCTGAGCTGGTCCAATGTCCTTCCGGGTCCTCGCTACTACGCCCACTGCTTTATAGGCATGATCTTCTATTGTGAGTAATATCTGTTCCGTCTGTAATCAGCATGCTAATGTTCACCAGCGTTTGTCATGTTTGCCATCACCCGCGAGACGCTCTACTTTATCAACCTCCGCCAGGCCTATCTCCTGTCGGCCTGGAGTGCCAGCCGCATGTCCTCTCGAACCGTCATTTACACTGGTGTCCCTAAGAAGTATTTGACTGAGGCGACTCTGCGCACCATCTTCCCCCGTGTGAAGCAGGCCTGGTTTGTCACCAACACTGATGATCTCGAGGAGAAGGTGGAGGAGCGTGACAAGGCCGCCATGAAGCTTGAAACCGCTGAGATCAAATTGTCCAAGGAGGCCAATGCCCGCCGCTTGAAGGCGCTCAAGAAGTCGCAAAAGTCGAAGAATGCCGACGGTGACGCCGAAGCTGCTATTCACGGGGATGGCATGCAGTGGTTGGATGCGAAGAAGCGTCCCACTCACCGTCTCAAGCTCCTCATCGGCAAGAAGGTTGATACCATCGACTGGGCGCGTACTGAGCTCGAGAAGTTGATCCCAGAAGTCGAAGTTGAACAGGACAAGCACATCTCTGGCAAGGTCGATCTCGTCCCTGCTGTCATCATCGAGTTCGAAGATCAAGCTGCTGCTCAGTACGCCTACTGTGTAACTCCCCACAACATTCCCCAAACCTTTGCTCCTCGCGCTATTGGTGTCAACCCGGCATCCATTATCTGGAAGAATTTGTCATTGAGCTACACCAGCCGTACGATTCGATGGATCGGTGCTACTGCCTTCATCACCGCCATGGTTATCTTCTGGGCCATCCCTGTGGCTGTTGTTGGTATCATCTCTAACGTCAACTACCTCACGACCGAGGTCACCTTTCTGGCTTGGATCAATGACATTCCCACGGTCATTCTTGGTGTCGTTACCGGTCTTTTGCCTGTGGTCCTCCTAGCGGTGCTCATGGCTCTCGTTCCCATCATCTGTCGATGTAAGTATTTCGAGACTTTTTCAAGACGAACAGCACTAACAGCACATAGTTGCCGCAAAGATATCTGGATGTGTCTCCCTTGCTGAGATTGAGCTCCAAACCCAGAGCTGGTACTTTGCCTTCCAGGTTATCCAAGTCTTCCTCATCACGACTTTCACGTCCGCTGCCAGTTCCGTTGCGGCACAGATTTTCCAGAATCCTGGCTCTGCCGTGAGCCTTCTTGCGACCAACCTGCCCAAAGCCTCCAACTTCTACATCAATTACTTCATCCTCTATGGTGTAGCTCAAAGCGCCAAGTTCCTCTTCAACATCGGCGCCTTTGTCGGCTTTGTAATTCTAGCCAAGTTCCTCGATACCACGCCCCGCAAGATGTACAACCGCTACATGAAGATGGCCCAACTCGGCTGGGGCTCGACGTACCCCGTCTTTACCAACTTGGGGGTCATCGCCATCACGTATTCGGTCATCGCTCCACTTGTGCTTGGATTTGCGACCGTCGGTCTCGGCTTGCTCTACCTTGCGTACCGCTACAACTTCCTCTATGTTTACGGCGATGAAATCGACACCCACGGTGCCTCGTATGCACGTGCGTTGCAGCAGTTGACGACTGGTGTATATCTGTCGCAGCTCTGCCTGATCGGTCTCTTCGCCATCGGTGTTGCCGACGCGCCGGAAGCCACTGGAGCGCTCATCCTGATGATCATCTTCCTAATCTTCACCGTCATCTTCCATCTTATGATGCGCAGCGCATTGAAACCGCTCACTCAATTCTTGCCGCGCAATCTCCTCATCGAGAGCGAAGTTCCGCATGCCGCAGGCCGCGAAGCTGGTGAGCACAATAACATGAGTAGCCATCAACTCCATCCGGGCTACGATACGCCAGCTGCTAAACCCCGCGAAGACAGTGATGGCACCGTTTACACGGATGAGAAGGCCACCGCCGCCGCCAACAATGGTACCAATGGCGCAGAGATGCAACACGCAGCCAGCAATGTCAACGACATCTCGGCGCTCCACGACGGCGCCGCTCCGAATCGCACACTCACCGCCCGCTTCAAGGCCTGGTTCCAGCCGCACAACTCGGATGCCGTTTCCATGTCCAAACTCCTCCACCCCAGTCTGCATCAGGCGCTGCCTGCCTATTCGGCCGAGGTCGCCAAGCAGGCGTACATGCACCCGTTGATTGCAGCCGAGAAGCCGCAACTGTGGATCGTTCGTGATGACATGGGCATTTCGCAGAGGGAGGTTACGGAGAGCAGCAAGGTTGTCGCTATTACCGATGAGGGTGCACACTTCAATGAGAAGAACAAGGTTGTGTGGGATACCCCTGCGACGGAGGCGCCGTTGTGGGAGAAGATTCTTCCCTACTAGATGGGTGGATGGGTGAGCGGGATGGATAGATGGAGGAACCGACTAATGGGGGAACAGGTAGTTTGTGGGGTTCGTGGAGGAACGGCATCTATACAATTCATCATGATGTCTGCTTTCCTTTTCTTCCTTTTCTTGCGTTTTTACATCGTTCGATCTACAGGATACGGACGGATGAAGAGAAGGCAGCAGATGGAAAAGTGGACCCGATTTGTGGTTGTGGTTGTGGTTTTCCAAAGCCTACTACGAAACGGACGATTCGATACCCAGGGATTACGTATATTCAGAGCATTGCTTTACAGTCTTTGATTTTTAATTTGTCGTCATTCCTCTCCTATAGTCAGTCTGTAGGCAAACTTAGTAGTAGTCTTAATCATTACTTCGCCGAATACCCGTGGTTCCTCTTCTGCCTGACGCTGCCTCCGTATCATCTTTTCGAGGCTGGCAGCAACTTCTCCTCCCTAGACCAGATTGAGCAAACACGGAAACCGAGTTCTTCGGCTCAGCACATACGCTTCCAAATTATCAACCTTCATTCGTTTTGTGCACGAGCTCTTTCTAGTGAGATCGGGCAGATCGTGGGAAACACGTGGAGTGACGTTTCCCACGTGTCTTCCAATTCTTTTCCAGATCTCAAAATTTGGCCCCCATCGCGAAGTCGAAAACACGTTTTGGATCAAAGAACGGAAAGACAGCGCAACGGGCATCTTGCCGCGGAGAACTCGACGCTGCCAAAAAGCCGCACATAATTACGAGCACAATTATGACTTGTACAAGCTGGACACACACGCTTTCATGCAGATAATGGCAGAGCGAGCTGAATGCTGGGGTCGTAGAGCCTTGTAGGAACATTTTGGTTTTTTGGAGAGGTCTAACTAGAACGGGTGGTGCTGGACGACGATCCCGAGGGGAGCTTGATGAGCTCGAGGCTGGTGCTTTGAGGCAGGAATCGACGTTTATTAGACTGGGGTATCCTTGCCGTTTTGCTCTCCAACAAGTCTACAAGGCCAAAGAGGCTGTGCAATAGCAATAAGTCGCTTTCCGAGGGATTCCCAGTTCATCAAAGTTGCTTGGCCCCCACATCGTCTATTTCCCTCCAAGTCCCACACTTGCCCCACCCCTCCAAAAATTTACACACAATATAAACGTGTTACATCAGTCATCATCACAAATCAGGTCGATTAGCTCAGTTGGTTAGAGCGTGGTGCTAATATCCACCTCCCCTTTGGAGAGCGATAGAATACGCCAAGGTCGCGGGTTCGACCCCCGTATTGACCAATCTGATTCTCTTTTTTTGCTCCTTTCTACGATCATACTTCTTCTGTAGATGTGGTTGAAGCGTGAGCATCTTTTTTGGCATCTGAGGGAATATTCTACGCTGGGGATGAGTTTTGACACTGGCAATTGGGCAAGCGAGACGTCTAAGGGTCGGCGGGACCCCCTCTGTGCCTGACCAGATCCAATGACGCAGCAGTCTTGGCTGCGTTGATGAAGGGGTCTGGCCGTGCTTGAGATGCGGCGCGGGGAGCTTGCCCAGAGCTGAAAGGAAGCTGGAAACTTGCTTTTCGTCTCGGGGAGGCTGTGAGCACTGAGGGGGAGGGGTAGGTACATAAAACTGGAGCTCTTGTTGGTGCTTTCAGGAGTGCTATAAAGTGCTGTTCCATCTTCCGCCTTTCCAACTCCACGTACTTTCTACCTACACCGTGACCCCAGCTGTGACCTGAAAGCTGTTCTGAAATTGGTGAGTTTCACAAGTCCTTCGTTCTTTCCAATTCGAGTTTGCTGCGTGGAGGGGTGATGTCACTGAGGTGGTCATGTGCAACACTTTCATCCTCTCCTTTTGCTCCCGTCTCTCTTGATCTTGATCTACTACACCTTCGACCTTGAATCACGCAAACATCTCTGGCAACTGGAAGCATCCTCCTAACTGTCCTCAAGACTACCTACAAATCGAAACAAATCAACCCTTCCAACCCTTCAATCAACCAACCTACCACAACCACGACAATGGACTTCGTCAACAAGCTCACCGGCTCCGGCTCTGGCGAGAACAACAACAACCAGCAGCAGCAAAGCGGCCAAAGCCAGGGCGAGCAGGGCAGCTCGAACGAGGGCGGTGGCTTCCTCGGCGGTTTGAGCAACAAGTTCAACAGTGCTGCCGGCGGAGGTGCTGAGGGCGAGAAGAACGAGGATTACCTTGACAAGTATGTTGGCAGCCCCTCATGGGTCCTTTTCGATCCTCCTTCGCCTTCTCTCCTTTCCTTCTCCCACACTTTCATGCCCAGAGAATCGAGAAGTAAAAAAATCTTACTCCACTACTTCCCACCCAAATCCACCTTCACCCCCAGCAAAACTCCTCCTCTCCGCTTCCTGGAAGTCCTGTGATCACAAACTAACCCATACCGCAGGGGCATCGACATGGTCCAGCAAAAGTTCATGGGCGGCGGCGACCAATCCAACGAGTCGGCCGTAGAGCAAGCCAAAGACGAGCAGATCTCCGACTTCATCCGCGGCAAGTACAGGGAAACGACCGGCAGCGACATCCCCATCAAGGACAAGCCGACCACCTTCGACAAGAACACTGATTAGAGAGTTGGCGTGAGCATGGCTCTATGAAGTTTGGGGTGCGCGTGGGATATGAATGGAGTGGAAATTACATGAAAATGACATGGGATCGGTATGGAAACGGACATGGAGTGGGATCGGCCTGGGAATTGGTACGGATATGGGAAAGGTCATGGGAACCAGGGACGTTTAGGTAGATACGAAAATACCTACATTCTCCCCTATATATGCTTCCCTCTTCACTGATTTTTCTGTGATATATTTCGTGTACGGGATTTGCCACGAGTAAAGAAAGAAGTTGAAATCTAAAGGTCATCACCAGCATAGAACATTCACAGAAGGTGACCTGAAAACCCTTATTAGTTAATAATTTTGTTTCAGGTCCTCAAGCACTCCCGAGGATAAAATCTTAATTATTTTTTATCCTAGATGAGCTACTGAAGCAATCCCGAGCGGTAGATCTAATAATTCCCTCGATGGTGGATGAGCTGCTGAAGTACTCCCGAGTGTTTGATCTATCTTGACTTTTAGCATTGGATAAGATGCTGAAGTACTCCCAAGTAGACGATTCATTATTTTTAGAAATTGACACGAGGGATCTTATTCTGTCCAGCCTCTTTGGACTACTTCGACGAAGTCGTGGAGGATTATTCAGCTGGTCAATTCGCTGTCCGATAAGTCGACAGCTATACCGAGATCCAATGAAGTCTGCACTGAAAGATCTCTCGAGGTTTGTATAGCAACGTGTCGTGATTACTATAGTCTCATAGCCTATATACGTCTGCCAGGCCTGTCCCTCATCAAGAAGCATTACCACAATCGCCTTGCTTGATCACCAGCACCTCCACATCCAGCGTCTCCGAGTCCAGCAAAACCATCTCCCTCGTCTCCGAAAACTTGGGCAATGAAAGAAGCGTGACACTCTGTCCCGCCGGCCCTCTGATGACTGTGGATGCATATTCGGGCTGATTTCCCACAAAGTAGACGTGTGGACAGTCTTTGATGAGCAAAGGATCGTCATCTTGGAAGGGATAGCACCCTGACGAAGACATGTTAGTGTTCGTTCATTGTCCGGATCTGCTGGACCTAAGGATAAGGAATCGACTCGACTTACAAAGTGTATCAGGCGCAGTCGGCGCACTCAACCTCCACCTCAGCACATGCTCCAGCATATCCAGCCTGTCATCCCCTCCCGAGACGTATTTGTAGATATCATCGATTGGCTGACCGCCCGTACCCAGGAACCTCCAACCATCGATGTCGCCAGTCCACGGATTCGTGACTCTGTCAAGCCAGTCCGCCTTGGTAGATTTTTCTTTCGGCGGCGCACAGAAGCTGCGACTCTTAGGAAACAGCGCGTAGTGTAATGGTTGTTGCGGCAGGGTGACGTTCGCCGGATCCGAGGCGCCGGGAAGGAGAGTGACGGGGATTGAGGGGAGTATCGTGGACAGAAATTTGTCGAATTGCTCACTAGGGCCGGCGTTGTACGCCGAGGCGTCGTAGCCGTATTTCCTGGGGCCGGTTCTCTTTGCTACGGCTTCTTCTCGTGAAGGAATGGGAGATGAGTGCGCCAGCGAGTTGCCAGCGATGATCAGCCTTGAGATTTTCACCCCCAAGTCGCTTGATTCTCCAAGCAGATAATCCGTTAGATTGTCCAGCATGATAGTATCCCCAGAAACACCAGTCAAGCTCAGCCCACTGATCACCGCAATCTTGCCGCCGCTCGGTTTATCTTCTTGCAGCTTTTTCCCCTGCTTTTGACCCTTTTCCCGCTCCCATCGCTGAGGTTGTCTAGGTAGATCCGGAACTTGCATGTCTATGACCTCGAAGACGCCATCTGAGTTCTCAGTCCCCATGACAGCCACTACACAGCCGGTGACTAGCATTTGAGATTGCAGATGCGATCCTGTTAGCCTGAGTCGTCCGGATTCGTCCTCGAGCATGAATTCGTCGCCGACGCCGTTGGATGAGATGAACTTTTCTCGTGTGGGAGGCGCAGATATCCAGTGCTAGTCACATTAGTTACATGCTCCCCGGATCTTTGATACTCACTCACGTCTTTGGAGATGTCTTGCAGGATGCTGGGCTTCAGTGTCATCTCCATGTACACAGTCCCCACGACCCAGCATAGTTCGCCTTGCCGGACATCTAGTACCCTGTCCACTTGTGTCGCTTTCTCACCCCCGAGCTGCGTCTGTCAGCCGTGATCTGAACCAGTCGAGGCATTATGCTACCTCAAAATCATCCCAAGCTTCTTTCGCTACTTGCTCGACCGCGGGCTTCAGCAGTGCTAAGCGCAAGAAATATACATCGGCGTATTGTTGCTGATAGTGTTTTGCCTCTCCTCCAGGAAGATCGAAAATGTGTAGGGGGCTGTAGAACGACGGTGCGCGGGTCAATTCGTTCTGGTAGTCGTCGCTGAAAATATGTCAGAGAAGGAATGAAGGGACAATGATGCGGTATGCTTACCGAGGGTCACTCATAAACACATCAGCACCACCAAGCATGGCCATTGTAGGAAGTCGTGAATCGTTGCGTGGGTCAAGTCGTGTCGTGGTGAAGTTGCAACTTGGAAGACGAGATGTTCCCGTCACGAAGCGAGACGCGCGACGCGTTCTCAGGCGCGACGTCACGAGACCGAGTCCACGGTAATTGACAGAAGCCTACCTACTCCGTATTGAACTTCTATCTTTCAATCTGTAACATTCAAACTAACAAAATACGAAGATTCACGCCTAGGTAGGTAATGTTTCCCGCTGTTTAAAGTTCCAATGGATCTTTCACTAAGCTACCAAGTTCGAGTACTCCGTATGTTCGATCCCATTAGGTAGTTTTCCCGTGTTTAAATTCGATCACTCATTATTCCACCACCAAGTTCGGTTGAACATGTCCTCCTCAACATTTTCCGGTTGTTCAAGTTCAGTCTTTCACCTTCAAACTTGAGCAGGGTGCTAGGTAAGTCTGAAAATGTCCCTGTCCGAGCACGTCCTGTCCTCTCCAATACTGATAGTCTGGTGGTCAACCGGGTCCATTAATTCCCAGTCATCTTCAAACAACGAGTTCAAGGATTTACGTCCTCTCGGGCAGCTGATATCTGTGCTAGACTCGAATCTTCAAATCCTAATCCATCAAGTTCGAACCCCTGCTCTGTACCTTAGTCTGATATTAAGCTAAAGTTCGACTTTTCACCATCCGACTATCAATTTGAAGCATGCCCTTCCTAAGGTGCTTCTTCCAATCACCAACTGCAAGCATGTCCTCCCCATTTTAGTCCGCTAGGATAAATCTCCGTCACAAGCGGTTCTGAGAATGGTGGGTCGAATGCAGACAACGAAGGCCCGCCCACTGCAAGCAATGGTGTTCCAAAGGTTGCCATACAAGCAGGATTGATCTTGCGCCGAAGTGTAATATAACCTACCAGCCATTGAGGGGCTGGTGATTGAGGTGTAGTAAGCGCTGGAAGGTCCAAAGAGAAGCTTGAGTAGGTATAAAGGACATGGATTATATATGTACACTTTTTGATGGCCAGATACTCCATCGCTATGCAAAAACAGACGCTGGTTGAACAAGAGAGGAGCTTACGTATCTTACAGTACTCTGTTCTTTTATTTTACTGCGCAGCAGCCGCAGCAAGGTCATCGTTTGCTTCCTCCACAATAGGGGCTTCCATTCCAAGGTCTCGCAATTCCCAGCCATCGGTCGCTTGGATCCAA